ATATTGGAGTCATTGGAGCCTCTCTCTCCTCTCTGATATTTGTTTGATTTGAGTTACTACTCTATATGGACAAATAGATGCTTCTTAGGTATATCAAATTTGACATCTGCAAATATTCACTCCAAGTCTATGTTAGCAATTCATTTCCTGTTGTGGTTGATCATAACACTACTACCAAGTTGCGAAGGTATAAACCTCCAAACAAGTGTTCATTTTTTTTTGCTAAATATCCTAATTATAGTGCATCTTATATCCCATGGATTGTTTATCAGTTTGTTCTACCTTTTGTTTATTTACTCTCCTGGTTCTAATTCAAGTCCAGCATTTCTTGCCAAAGGATCTACTTGAATGGAGCAGGCACTGTGACTCAGTGGGATAAGTTGCCACTGGCATCCCATGTGGGTAGCAGTTGAAATCCCAGCCACTCCTCTTCCCATCCAGCACCTTGCTAACGTACCTGGGAAGGCAGTAGAAGATGGCCCAAGTGCTTGGGTCTTTGTCACCTATGCAGGAGACCTGGATGGAGTTCCAGGGTCCTGACTTCAACCTGGCCCAACTACTGCCATTGCAGCCATTTGGAGAGTGAATCAGCGGATGGAAGATATTCTCTCAGCTGCTCCACTTCCAATCCAGCTCTCTGCTATGGCCTGGGAAAGCAGGAAGATGGCCAAGTCTTTGGGTCCCTGCACCCGCATGGGAGACCTGGAAGAAACTCCTGGCTCCTGACTTTGGATCGGCACAGCTCCAGCCGTTGCAGCCATCTGGGGAGTGAACTATCAGATGGAAGACATCTCTCTCTCTGTCTCTCTCTGCCTCTCCTCTCTGTGTAACTCTGACTTTTGAATAAATAAATAAATCTTTAAAAAATTATAATAGAAGAAAGTGCATAATAACAATGATAACATGTGGTTAGATTGATATTCATCTTCTCCACAACAAAACACTATTTCCACATGGTAAAACAAAAATAAAAAATGAGGTGCTGGTAATAGAGCAATCTTTTTAAAAGAAATAGTCCACTATATAATTTACAAAAAAAAAGAAAAAGAGTAATAATGATTTACTGTATCTTTCTTTCACAATATGCCAATATTACTTTTTGTGTGTTGTTAAGAAAAAAATCACATTTGCCTTAGTTGAATGGTAGTGATTAGATGATGCATTGAAGAGATATATGTTGCTGGCGCCGTGGCTCAATAGGCTAATCCTCCGCCTGCAGCACACTGGGTTCTAGTCCCGGTTGGGGCGCCGGATTCTGTCCCAGTTGCCCCTCTTCCAGGCCAGCTCTCTGCTGTGGCCAGGGAGTGCAGTGGAGGATGGCCCAAGTGCTTGGGCCCTGCACCCCATGGGAGACCAGGAGAAGTACCTGGCTCCTGCCTTCGGATCAGCGCGATGCGCCGACCGCAGTGCGCCAGCAGTGGCGGCCATTGGAGGGTGAACTAACGGCAAAGGAAGACCTTTCTCTCTGTCTCTCTCACTGTCCACTCTGCCTGTCAAAAAAAAAAAAAAAAAAGACAAAAAACAAGAGATATAAGTCCACACACAAGCGGGGATGGGGCTGCTTATTCAATGGTCTCCTTCAACATCTCCATACCTAGGGGATTGGGCTTGAATATCAACAAATAGTGCACACCTATAGATCAGTGTGTAATGGAGTAGGGAAAAAGAAACAACAAATTCTTCCAGTAGGACTTTGAAACAAATATTTCCATTTTAATTTAAATAGGAACGTGTCATTTGTCCACAGTAAATATTGAAAATAACAAAGGCACATGACACAAAACAACATTTAGGAGGAACTTTTTGATTGCTGCCTCCTATTATAGGGGATAAAGAATATCTTCACTTCCCATTTTAGTTCACAATGGAGGCCACTATATTAAAAGACAGATCCATAGAAAATCATCAAGCAGACTTGTTTGATGGAAGTCTCATGTGACACAGAAGTCTCTACCCAGAAATAAAGACACAGAGAAAGCGATAAGCCCTAGTTTACCTGGAATTTTATTCCAGTTTTCATGAAAAAGTAGCTAGTCATGGAGAAGTATGATTGGAATAAAAATGCAACTGTAATAAACTGGGAGAGGGGCACTTAGCTAGCCCTGCCTATTTCGATTCTTCTCGGTGTCTTCAGAAGAAAGGATTTCTTTTTCTCCAGATACAGGGAGAGTTCTTCTGGAGCAAGGATCTTATGACCTGCTTCAGAGGATAAGGACAGGAAATGGAGAGCAGCTTTCTTGCTTTTGTTGTTCTCTCAAATACCAAATTTTGGGGTATTATGTTCTGAATCCCATCACTACCAAACTCCCTCTGAACTCCCATGTTGATGATTTACTGCACCGTGTACACACTAAGCAAAACAATTGATCTAACTAAGATTGGTTTCACATGGTATTCGCCAAGTAGGACTTGGCCAAGACCTGGAGGCCATCCCACAAACCAGCATGCAAGAAAGGTGGAGAGAACCCTGCCATGGGGACTTGGACCTAAGTCCCAAGAAAAACAGTAAAGACCCTCCACTGAGACTGGAATGGATGAGCAAACAGGAAGCTTGTAGATGCACAGGGCTACAGCTGAAAGATAGTTACCAAGGTCCAGGACATAATGCTTGTGATAAAGAGACAAAACAGAACTAGGGTTATTTGCATCCTTGGAACAGAGTCAGAATGGGTCTGTAAAAGCTGGGTCAGGCACATCCACTGGCCAGGGACGATTGTCTCTGAGCAATGTGCTCTGAGTCTACGTGGGAGCTCGGAGTATGTCCGTGTGCTCCACAGCAGCAGGTGCGCATGAGCCCACACGTGGAATCCACCCTGGGAAAGACCTTGAGCTGCGAGGATAGGAAGTCAGCAGGGAGCTGTAAAAATGGTTACTCTTAAGTAAGATTTCCCTCTGTCTGTTTCTTTCCTGGCTCACATTTTCTCCCAAGTAAGAGAAATAATGAAAGGTTTTGGTTTAAAACCTTTTCCTTTTATATTTAGAGCCCAAGGCTATACATAAATAAACTTAAATGGTGACAATGTCCACAACAAAATAAGTTCACAAAAAAAAAAAAAAAAAGGAGTAGATAACATCAACGGGAAGGCGAAAACAAGATTTGCTATGATAAACTGCGCTCCAGATATTGTTTGACATGATTTGATGACTCAGCTCCCAAGCACCATCCAGACACTGCTGGAAGGGATAGAGTGGCAAAATGAGTTATGCTTTCCTCTGAAATATTACTTCACTATGACAGCAATATTTTCAGGAAAGACTTGCAAAGAGATCTCTATCTTTCATTTTCCAACTAGAATTTATTTCCATTTCTAGCTACAAAGTTTCCAAGTGAAGTTTTTATTAAGAATAGTATTTTGCCAGAAAGAGTAGCCCTTGAATTATAAGGGGAATTTAAGAAAGTAGAATATAATTTTCCTCCCACCTATTATTAATTCTTACTTACTCATCTAGCACTTCACTGTGCTGTGGAAGAAGTAGTATTTTCATTGTGAGCATAAGGATCTCTTTGTGTAGAGATCAGAATCTGATTGTGATTTTTTTTTTATTTGTATGACTATTGATTATTTTAACATTTTCCACTGACCTTATCATAGTGAAATTCTCCACTCTAAAATTCTCTTCACCATACCTTTGAATGTGAATTCTGTTTAGATGATTGCCCTTTGCACCTAATGTTGCCAAATTCTCGGAGATCATTTACATGTTTGGCAATCTGAGAAGAGGTTGCAACCGGCCTTGTTTTTGCCCTAAACGGTCTGAGTCAGCCCATGGGAATTTTGATTATATGTTCTTACGCCAAGACGTGAAGCTGGGCTGGAAAACTTTTGGAAGCATCAATCCAAGAACATTTCTTTCCTATTTATGTGTATCAGTCACTTTATTTCCTACTGAGAATTATTTATATCATTCAGAGTTTCCAAGTACAGAACATGACTTTGAAATCCCATGGTTTCTGGAAATCTTTCAGATAGGAAAAGGAGATGAAATTAACCAGTAATCAGGAGCCAAATTTCATCCTCTGCTCTTTGAACAGCAAGCATTATCTTTCTGTTTTTCCTTCCCTTCAAACCCTTCCTTCCTTCCCTCTCTAACCTATTTTTATTTCACTAAGATTCTTCTCTCTTAAGTTTACAATCAGGACAGTGGTTGAAAGACTGTAGTCTTATCATAAAGAGTCCTCCAGCCCAGCATACAATTTTAAATACAAAATCAATACATACACATGCATGTTCACATATATGTGCAAATGCAAGGAGAGAGAGTTGAAGAGAATTGTTGAACTAAGGGGTGAGTGACCCTCAGATAAAAGCAAAACTTGGTGAAGACTGTTGGTTTTTAAAGATTTATTTATTTATTTACAAGGCAGAGTTACAGAGAGAAAGAGAGAGAGAGAATCTTCTGTACACTGGTTTACTCTACAAATGGCCACAATAGCCAGAGCTGAGCTAGGCTGAGGCAGGAGCCGGGAGCTTCTTCTGGGTCTTGAATATGGGTGCAGGACCAAATATTTGGACCATCTTTCACTGCTTTCCCAAGAGTATTAGCAAGAAACAGGATCAGACTGCCAACCTCGACCCCACAGGTAGTGGCTTAACCAACTACGCCACAATTGCTGGACATGGTGAACTCTCTTTATTAAATGTGGTTGTCCAACTCAAAAACTCTACTTAAGCTGAAGAATTTGCATTAACATATCCATTAATTCACTGCCTATTCACTAAGCCCTTACATATCAAACACTGTTCTGGACACAATGCTGCACTGTAGATCAAGCCAAGTCACTAATCTGATGGAGTTTATATTAAAAAAGGGGACAAGGCAGATAATACACGTTTAATATCAGAAAGGGAGAGAGGGTGCAATTAAAGCGAAGCAGGATGGGGTAGTGATGAAAATTCAGAACATTGCATTAGACTATGAATTCAGGAAAAGCCTCTCTGAGTAGGTGGAATATAAACTGAATGACAGGAGGCAGCTGTGTGCAGAAGTAAACACATCATTAAAGGAACAAGAAACACCTCACTGGAAGCCTTAAGACACAAGCAAACCAGAATTGCTGGAGAAGCATCAAGAAGTCTGATGTGAATGGAATGGGCGAATACTAAGCTGGCCATGGAGTGGTGGTGAGTGTGGTACCCCAGGAGGGTCAGAGTAAGTACAAGCCCTTGGAAGAGGGTGCTAGGATCTGATTACCGTCCTCTGTAGCTCACCCCAACTGATGCGTAGAGAACATTATAGAAGCACAATAATGAGGAAGAAATACCATGTAGAAAGTTATGTGGCAGTTTGGGGGGGGGATGGTATGATAGCAGGAAAGATAGAAGGAAGTAGAAAGGTTGAGTTGTGTTTTGAAGCAGGCTGCTTCCTCCTTAGCATATTTTACATCAATAGTGGTAGATATTAACGCACTTACTGAGATGGAAATACTGAGAAAAGAAATAGAATTCTGTTGGAATAGATTAAGTTTAAGGTGCCCACGGGCATCTAAGTGGATTTATCAAAAAGGCAATTGGATAAAAGTGTTGGAAGACAGACCAGGGCTACAGATAGAAATTCGAGGGGCATAAACTTCTAAAAGACATTTAAAACCATGGCACTAGATGAAATCATAAAGAGTCAATGGCGATCATCAGGAATTCCAGAGCCAAGATTCAGGGCACGCCAACATTTACAGATGAAATGTCATGCATAGAGAATGAGAAATGGGTACTGGCGCGGGGCAGGGGTTGGCAAACCAGGGGGTGATATCAAGGATGCTCTCAGAATATTGGGTTTCTGGACAAAGAAGGCAGCTGTACTGAATGTTTCAGGGACTAAGAAAAATGAGGGAGGCCGGCGCTGTGGCAGAGTGGGTTAAAGCCCTGGCCTGAAGCGCCCACATCCCATACAGGCGCCAGTTCTAGTCCTGGCTGCTCCTCTTCCGATCCAGCTCCCTGCTATGGCCTGGGATAGTAGTAGAAGATGGCCCAAGTCCTTGGGCCCCTGCACCCACGTGGGAGACCTGGAAGAAGCTCCTGGCTTCGGATCAGCGCAGCTCTGGCCCTTGTGGCTATCTGGGGAGTTTCTCTCTGTTTCTATGTTTCTCTGTAACTGTCTTTCAAGTAAATAAAATAAATCTTTAAAAAAAAAGAAAACTGAGGATAGAAAAGGGACTCTTGACTATAAACTGGGCACTTGCCAAACAACACCAAAAGTAGTGAGTTGGTAGTAGAGGATAAAACCGGTGGGGGAGGGGTCACATTTAGAAACTGCTTGGGAAGGCTGGTACTGAGGCGGGAGAAGTTACCTGCAAATGTTCCAAGGACCAGAGAGGTTTGTTCTTTGTGAAAAAAACATGTTTGATACTAAGAGTGTTTATTTACCTGCCTCACTAGGCAACATTTTATACCACGTTTAGTCTCTTTGCCAAGCCCAACAGCAATAGAGTGCCTATTTCAAATAGAAGCAGAGGCTACTGCTACACAACCAAAAAGGAAAGAGTGGCTAGGAAAATAAATGCATGAAGGGACCTCAAGAAGCTCAGGGAAAATGGAGTTAAAAGATGAGTTTATTTTGGTGAAAAAGATTTAGAAATGCATGTGTTTTTTTTTTTCATAATACACATTTTCCCTACACTTCTAGATCTCTTGTATCATCATACTATTCTCTAAATCATATTTGTCAGGGCATAGAACAAGATTTTCTTGGTTGGTTTACTGTATGTGTGTGTGTGTGTTTTCCAACAAAGTATTGCAGACAGAAAAGCTCACCTAATTAAGATAGTGAGTTAATACGTTTACAAAATATTAATGGATTGTCTGCTTACCTTGTAGTCAATGAACACTTTTTCTTGTACCTAAGCTTAAAAATACCTTTCTCAGAGGGCCAGGGTTACAGCATAGTGGGTAGAGCCACGGCCTGCAACACCGGTGTCCCGTATGGGTGCCAGGTCGAGTCCCAGCTACTCCACTTCTGATCCAGCTCCCTGCTAGTGCTCCTGGGAAAGCAGTGGAAGATGGCCCAAGTGCGTGAGTCCCTGCCGCCCATGTGGGAGACCCAGATGAAGAGCCTTACTTCTAGCTTTGGCCTGGCCCAGTCCTGGCCATTGTGGCCATTTGGGGAGTGAACTAGTAAATAGGAGAATTCTCTCTCTCTCTCTCTCCTTCTCTCTCTGTAACTCTGTCTTTTATATTAAAAAAAACTTTTTTTAAAAAAAGTCTTTCTAGGAATGAGACAGTTATAAATGCTGCAAAATGGCAGTGGGAGGGAGTGGCTATGGTGGTGTTCAGGGCACTGAGATGGTCAGCATTCTCATCTCGGTGGCTTCTGTGGACACCTGGAATCTTACTCTATCACTTTCTCATTTCCTTTTTAAAATAACAAAAAATGAAAACTATAGGATAAACTTAAAGGGAGTAGCGAACACTGATTGTTATAGTAGTAAGTGGAAACACATCTCTTTTTCTAAGGGACAACAAAGAAATAAACTCTTGGCCAATGAGTTAGAATGTAAACAGTGTTCCAGACTATATGAATAGATAATATCACCTGTTAGTTAAAAATAACATTTGGGTTAAAAAAAAAAAGCTCTATGAAACTAATTTTTGATTAAGTTGGTTTCATGACTGCTTAGTATAGAATATCAAACCAGTTGAGGATGTAAGTCAGTCTTGTAGAAATGCTAAGACCCAAAATCTGTTTTGTTTTAAAATTTATTTTAATTATTTGAAAGGCGGGGGATGAGAGAGAGAGAGAGAAAGAGAGAGAGAAAGAGAGAGAGAGAGAAATTGCCCATCCGCTGGTTCACTCCCCAAATGGCCACAATTGGACCAGATTGAAGCCAGGAACTAGGAGATTCATCTGGGTCTCCCTCGTGGGTGCAGGGGCCCAAGGACCTGGGCCATCTTCTACTGCTTTCCTAGGCACATGAGCAGGTAGTTAAATCATATGTGGAACATCTGGGACTTGAACCAGTGCCCATATGGGAAGCCAGCATCACAGACAATGGCTTAACCCGTTATACACAATGCTGGCCCCACCCCAGGTTCTTAAAGCCTGACTCCCATTCATATTATGGCTTATGTGTTTAGGGCATTTCTTGAGACGAATGTGTTGCGTTCTTAGAGTAAAATGTTGTGATCACTGAATTTTTTTGCAGAATCCTGAGACTCGATAGCTGGCTTGCAACATGTAGAGATGTTGTATCTCCTCAGCGATGCCAGTAACGTGCAGTGTTGTAGAACAACTTCAAATGCTGCTTCATTTTGCCTGTAAACAGATTTTACTCTGCAATAGTATGTACAAGTGGTTTATGTCAGTAGATAAACTCCTTGTTCTTTACTCAGGGTAACTACTGGGTGAATATGATTGGGTTGATGGGACTGGGGTTTGATGTGTGGGTGAATGTTTAACAACTGGTTCGGGGGGTTGCAACAGCCTTGATTTTTACTTTTTTTTCCTACTTTTTTTTTTTTTTTGACAGGCAGAGTGGACAGTGAGAGAGAGAGACAGAGAGAAAAGTCTTTCTGTTGCCGTTGGTTCACCCTCCAATGGCCGCCGCGGCCGGCGTACCAAGCAGATCCGATGGCAGGAGCCAGGTGCTCATCCTGGTCTCCCATGGGGTGCAGGGTCCAAGCACTTGGGCCATCCTCCACTGCACTCCCTGGCCACAGCAGAGAGCTGGCCTGGAAGAGGGGCAACTGGGACAGAATCTGGCGCCCCGACCGGGACTAGAACCCGATGTGCCGGTGCCTCAAGGAGGAGGATTAGCCTAGTGAGCCGTGGTGCCAGCCTAACATCCTTGATTTTTAATGGTTACCAATGCCCATGTTGGAAAACTCCTGAGGTTGTCAAATTCAGGCTCTGGATTTTGTGTTGTCCACATGAAGCCTGCACTGGTCACAGTCTTTGAAAGCCCTGGGGAGCCAGGGCAGACTTCTCAGGGGCCAGGACATGACAATTCTGGACTCACACACCTAATAAAGATCTAATGGTTCTTGTTTTACAGCCCTGGTCTGTATTCCTGGGTAACACTGATCTTCCTACTTTTTACTTGTTGAACATCATAGTTAGGGGTACATTAAACCTGTGATTATACAGTAAATTAAAAGTATATTATTGCAAAAATTGAAGGAAGAAAAAGAAAGGAAGGAAAGAGAGGGGATTGACAGAGGGAGGGAAGGGAAAAGGGAGGGAAGTGCGGTTGTCTTCTTAGAATTCTACCTATGCAGGAGCTGGCACCGTGGCTCACTTGGTTAATCCTCCGCCTGTGGCGCCGGCATCCCATATGGGTGCCAGGTTCTAGTCCCGGTTGCTCCTCTTCCAGTCCAGCTCTCTGCTGTGGCCCGGGAGTGCAGTGGAGGATGGCCCAGGTGCTTGGGCCCTGCACCCCATGGGAGACCAGGAGGAAGCACCTGGTGTAGCACCAGCTGTAGCGGCCATTTGGGGGGTGAACCAACAGAAGGAAGACCTATCTCTCTGTCTTTCTCTCACTAGTGCTAGCTGTCAAATTAAAAAAAAAATTGTATCTATGCAATACATTAAATCTGTTCTCTCTACATTAATGAAACTTAAAAAAATTAAACACTTAAATGAAAAAAGAAAAGAAAAGCGGGGTCATCATAATAACTGGTGCACTCCCTAATTTCTATTAGAAGATTGGGGAGAAAAATTTCAACTGACACTGGAAAGAATGTTTAGGTGTGAAAGAAAAGTCTAGTTTGAATTCTTTTTTTTTTTTTGTTAAGCAAATTTAGCATAAAAGCAGTTGATAGCTCTTAGAATATTTATTTTTAGTCATTCCATTTAGAGATGAGCCTGCTGTTGGACTGTTGGACCCTTTCTCTGGCTGTAGATAATTGCAACACAATCTCACTGCTCTTCTCTTCAAAAAAAAAAAAAAAAAAGATTGTAATAAAATCACCAGCCTGGAGGCTTAAGAGATTTCCTATAACCTGTGCCTGCTGTGCACAAAAATCTACAAGGCCAAAAAAAACATAAATAGAACTTATTGTCAAAGAGTTTTGCAGATCATGATTCAACCTCCCTGTGCTTTTTTTTTTTAATGTGAAACCACTTTCATAGACAGGAAATCCTTTCCTATCTCTAACCTCTGTGTCTCATTTTTCCATTTTTAATTAATTCCCTTTGTCTTGCTCTAAATGAGGGAATTATCCTGTCACCTCGATATATAATTAAAGAACTGAAAAATCTTGTTACTTCAGACCCCACTAATTCACAAATCGTGATAATTCCAACAAGCCCTGAACTGCAAAAATTACTAGATAAGCAAATGAATAGGGTAAACAAGATTGTAAGTGTGTAACTCAACCTGCTTAGGAAAACTAATTGTTTTGAGCACTTTAGAAGTCTCATTATATACCCACACCTGTTCCTAACAAAACGGGATCTCTCAGTCCACATTTCTGAGTAAGTGCTATCTGACCAGACTCCTACACTTATAGCTCTTTTGCCTTCATATAGAGAGAGGGGCTGTTAGAAAGCTCTAGAGACTGTTCCCGGGAACCTCTTCAAAGTCTTTATCCAAGTTAGTTTCCACCCCATCCCACGTGTGCCCGGACTCCCACAGCTTCCTGCTCTCCATCTCAGGGCTGGCTTTTCCACGGAGCAAGTTCAGAAAATTAGAAGGAGTCACTTTGGACCTGAGACTCTCTTGGCCTCTGTTCACAAAAGCAAATACCCCATCACTGTTGCTGGGGGTGGAGGGTCAGGCCGTGTAGCTGAGGGCAATCGAAGTCATTTTATGAAACATATTTTAGAAACCAGGCCTTTTATGACTCACCTAATGACTTCTCTTCCTTGTTACCTTCCATCCATACATTGTAGGGTTTCTTCATGAACTTAGCCACTATGTCTAGACTACCCACTCCAGCCTAGGATCTGAGGATATGTTGGGTAGACAAACTATATACAGTTCTTTTAATTTAATTCAATTTTCAAACACTTACATAGCATTTACCATGTAAGGTACTGTTGTAAGCATATTACAAAAAGTTAATTAATTTACATCACTTGGTGAACTCATGGTGTGGAGGAATACTCTGTTAAAATACAGGAGATTTGGGAAAATGTCTACCAAAGAGCTGAATACCTCTTGGAGAATCTGACTGGGGTCATGCCAGAATGAGGGCTGCTAGCTTTAATATCTTATCTACTTATTTATTTGAAAGATAGTGTGACAGAGAAAGAGAAAAAGATAAAGACCAAGCAAGATCATCCACCTGCTGGTCCACTGCCCAAATGCCTTGTAACAGCCAGGGCTAGACCAGGTTGAAGCCAGGAGCCAGGAACTCACTCTGGATGTCCCATGTGGGTGCTGGGGACTGGAGCACTTGAATTATCTTCACCTGCTGCCTTTTAGATTCTGCATTAGCAGGAAGCTGGATTGGAAGCAGAGTGGGGATACCAACCCAGACACTCTGATATGGGATGTGCTAACACAAATGTCTTCTTAACTACAGTGCCAAGTGCCTGCACTTTACAGGTGAATAACTGGGACTATTTATTAAAGTGTGAGAATCTATGAGACCAGAGACTGTTGATGTATACCCGTGGAGGATACTGGAATCACCTTGGAATTCAAATGCTGAATTCGGTTGGCCATGAGAAGATTGGATAGATGGCAGAGAAGACAGGAATCAGTAAGTATTCAGTTAGCCATCTCTAAGTGGAACGAAGAAATGAAGAGAAAATGAGCTGAGAGGTTTAAAATGTATTCAACGACATACAATGATATGTACGGTGATTACACAACTTACCAGGTGCAGAACTAACTCTGTAGTAGAGAAAATTTGTCCGTTCAAAAGCCTACCTAAAAAAGTGACTCTTGAGGATTATTTTTTCTTTTTTAACCCAAAGAACAGCCTATGATTTATATAGTTGGGTTCTTTACATGATTTTTTTTTCAGCAAATAGATATTCAGAACCTATTTGTGCCAGGCTCTGCCCCAGGTGCTAGGATTGTGAATACAGTATGAGGGTACATCCGCCGTCCTGGCCTTGCCTTCTAGGGTGGGAGACAGACCACATACAAAAGAGGTGACAACAGGATTACCTGTGCTAGAAGGTGACAGAGCCCGTGAGAAACACAGAGCAGGGAAAAGAGGTGCAGTGCTGCAACTGTGAACAGCTTCCTCAGGAAAGGGCACACAGAGAAGAAAGTCTCAGAGCAAAGAGCTGAAGGTAGGTAGAAGGCTCCAGACAGAAGGAGCAGGTGCACTAAGCCCAACAAAGGAGGGGCCAGTAGTTGCGCTAGCAGAGGAGATGGAATCTAAGGGTTTGGAAGGAGGGATGGGAGAAGACCATGCTATGGAAGCTTTGCAGATCCTTGTAAGGATGCAGACTGGAGGGTTTGCACAGGGCAAGCATGATCTACTTTTGATTTACTTTCTGTATCATTCTTCCACTTGCTAGTTTGAGAGTTTTATGAAGTGGGGAAGGCAAAATTAAGGGAAAAGTCTTGAGGTGATTGTGCCCAGGCCATTGGGAGATGATGGAGCTTGGACCAGGACGAGAGAGAGAGATAGGTAAGAAGGACGGCCAGGCATTAGACACAGTCCAAGGAGTGTCTGTCAAATTTGCCAACTAAATAGAAATTGGGTGTAAAAGACAGAGAAAACTTAGGACTTTGACCTGAACATTTGGAAGGATCAGCTTTGACCTGAATATTTGGAAGGATCGGGCTCCCATTCCCTGAGTGGGAAGATTGTGGGAGAAGCATGTATCAGCTGACTGACTCCAGGGAGACATTCACCCTCTGTGTGATTTCCACCTCTCCACTGCCCTCCTTCCCATAAGCAGGACTTGTGAGTTCCTTCTAACCAACAGAGTATGGGCAAAGATGACAGAATTAGGTGTTTATATGCATGTGATTAGATTATGTAAGACTCCTTTCCAGTTAGAAAATGCTCTCTCCTGGCTGTGAAAAACTTGTGAGATGCCCTATGGAGGGGACCATATAACAATTACCTGACTGCTGATAGCTAGCAAGAAACCAAGAGCCTCAGCTTAGCATCCTGGAGGGACATGAATGGTGCCAACAACCAAGGAAGCTTGGATGCATACCCTTCCCCAGTTGAGTCTCGGATGAGAGCACAGGATGGATCTCATCCAATAAAACGATAAAACAATAGTAAATAATAAAACAATCTACCTGGATTGTAAGTAGGCAAGACCATGATGCTGAGGATTTTGCTACTGCCTGCCCAAACCCTGATCAAAATCTTTGGAATCATAAATATGCATGCATTGCTGTTAGTGGAGATGTGAATTAGCATAGCCATTAAGGGAAACAGAATGGAGGTTCCGCAGAACATTAAAATTAGAACTGTCATGTGATCCAGCAATCCTATTCTGATTACACACACACAGACACACACACTTAAACACACACAGGAAATTAAATCAGTGTGTTGAAGAGCTAGGTACACTTCCGTGTTTATTGCAGCATTATTCACAATAGTAAAGAAATCAAATCAAGTTAAATGTCCACCAATAGATGAATTTTTTAAATGCAGTATATATACACAATAGAATATAATTCAGTCTTTAAAATGAAAGAAATTCTGTTATGTGCTAAAACATAGATGAATGAACCTGGATGACATTATGTTACATGAAATAAAGAAAAGCACAGAAAGACAAGTACCACATTATTTCACTAACACTTGAAATGCAAAAAAAAAAGTGTAATTCATAGAAGTAGAGAGTGCAGAGCCTGGATGGGGGTGTTGGGGTGATGTTAGTCAAATGGCTCAGTATTTCTGTTAGGTAGGAGGAGTAAGTTCTGATGGTTTATTGTGCATTATAGTGAGTATATTAAAGAATATAATGCATATGCAAAAATTGCTGAGATATTGTTAAGTATTCTCATCACACACAAAGAATAAGTAGTTGAGATCATGTAGATTTTAAGTAGCTTGAGTTAGCAATCTTTTGATGAGTGTATACACATTTATCAAAACATAATGTTATGTGCATTAAACATACAACTTTTACTTATAAACTAAAAATAAAACAAATGTGCATTAATATTTTAAGGCACTAAATTATTGGTGATATTGTTACGCACTGATAGATAACAAACATGAAGAAAATGTTAAAAATCTGTGGAAAATGGCAAAAAAATTTATTTTAAAACAAAAAAATTGTGAAACAGTTTTTCAAAACAAGCATTTTCTGTGAACATTTTGAAGAGTCCTGATGCATCAAGAGACAGATTGATTTTGTCTTGAACATATTAAGTGTGAGACATATGGGGTTCACATGAAAATGTAAGTAAGCAAATGGATAGAAGAATCTGGATTTGGGGAAGGAGATCTGGGCTCGTTATATCACAGTCATGCTCATCAGCGGAGGGCGCAGTGAGCACTGTAAGAGCGAATGGAACAACTCAGGGGAGGGGAAAGAAGCAGGGAGGAGAGTCCCAGGACCAGCTTCCCGGGTATTAAGTTGGAAACGTGCAGACATGAAGAACTGGAGAAGGAGCATCCACCTATGACATAATAGAAGGGAAATCGGGAGGACGAGTTGCATCAGAAGCCAAGGCAAGACAGTATTTAAGAGGACAGAATTATCAGCTCCGGCCAGGGTTGCTAATAGGTTGAGAAAAGGGAGGGCTTTTGATATTCTGGCCTTTCACTTCCTTCATCCCACTCACCCCCACAGGCCTGCTGCAGAACTTGGCATTAGTCATAACTGAACTCCTTCTTAATCTCAATTTTAAGCAACTTGTTTTCTACACAGGCTCTCCTCCCTCTCTGGTTCCATCCTTCTAGCATTCCTATTCTACCAATCTTTTTTTTATTTATTTATTTGACAGGTAGTTATAGAGAGTGAGAGAGAGACAGAGAGAAAGGCCTTCCTTCTGTTGGTTTACCCCCAAAATGGCCTCTACAGCTGGCAGTGAGCCAATCTGAAGCCAGGAGACAGGTGCTTCTTCCTGGTCTCCCATGTGGGTGCAGAGCCCAGGCACTTGGGCCATCCTGTACTGCCCTCCCGGGCCACAGCAGAAAGCTGGACTCGAAGAGGATCAACCAGGACTAGAACCCGGTGCCCATATGGGATGCCGGCGCCACAGGCAGAGGATTAACCAAGTGAGCCATGGCCCCAGCCCCTCTACCAATCTTCAAACCATATCAGAACATACTAATACACTGATCCTGCTATCTTTCTACTGACCGCCGATCCCTAATCTTCTCCAACACATGGCCTCAGATTTTCTACTGTGCATCATCTTAAATTGTTTCCTATCTTCTGTCCCAATATAGGTATAGGTGAGCTCGCATCTTAGAAAGACCCACTCTCATGAGTACATTCTACCCCCTTCCTCTCACCTTTGAAGCCTGCCGTTCAGGCATTTGTCTCTCTCTAGTGTCAGCTCATTCTATACCATCTCCATATGAACACTAACATTTTGTATATTTATAGTTATATAGTTCATGATACTTTGATGGGTAGTACAGTCTTGTAAACACCTTGAATCACAGATCTCTTTAGGAATTAAAGATGACATTATACCTGAGGTTTGTCAGTTACACTTTCTCGCTTTTTCCTTTCCTTTGGAGGACTTTCCATAACTCATAGTAAATAATTATGGTCAATAATATGAATTTATTTGCATGTGTAATTTTTTAAAAAGATTTATTTATTTATTTGGAAGTCAGAGTTACACAGAGAAGCAGAGGCAGAGAGAAAGAGAGGTCTTCCATCTGCTAGTTCACTCCCCAATTAGCTGCAATGGCCAGAGCTGTGCCAATCCAAAGCCAGGAACCATGAGCTTCTTCCTGGTCTCCCATGTGGGTGCAGGGACCCAAGGACTTGGCCATCTACTGATTTCCCAGGATAGCAGAGAGCTGGATCAGATGTGGAGCAGCCGGGACTCAAACTGCGACCCATATGGGATACTGACACTGCAGGCCAAGGCTTTATCTGCTATGTCAGAGCCCTGGACCCTGCATGTGTAATTTTATAGCATCTGTTTCCCCATTAGACTATAAGTCTCATGGTTGGGAAAAGTGTGGCCCGTTTTGTTATTGTTTTTTCACTCTAGTACCTTATGTGTTCTGTGACACATACTAGATATTTGACAAATACCTGATCATCAAATAAATGAAGGAACGAATGTCTTTCAGGCATCACAAGGAATGGAGATAGTTGCATGAACCTCCACAAAGGGACACTCGGAATCCCAGGCTCAGCCTTCAGAGTTGGAAATCTCTCGCTGCATGCTTCCATGGCTTTTATTAAAGAACAAGGAGTCTTCAGTGCGATGACTTCTGGGAAGAGTTTGGGGACTGCTTTGTCTAACACACAGGCTATGGTAAGGAGATTGGCAGTTTGTTCTCCTGGGAAGTGGAGCTTCCTGGATGGAATATGAAGCCCAGGAATCACATCAATGCTATGTGTCTGGTTATTCTTGCAACGGCTGCCATAATCTCCCTAGCCCATATTCCCTTCTGGAGCCTCCTCACTCCCGCATCAAGAAGCAGCTTGTAACCTCCTTCCTCTGGCATATGGATGGGCTCCTGGCTCACACAACCACGTGTGACTGTGTTTTCTTCAGCCAGGATACAAGGTGATGTGCCACCTCCTTGTGACCAAAACCTGGGGCTGTGGCCCTGACTCATCACACAGGCTTCCAGCCACTCGAGGGGCTGAGTTGAGAGGAAGGCTTGGCCATATGAGAGGCTCTTTTAGGTGACCCACCGCATTTGTCTTCTAGAGCTGCCACAATAAGGCACACAGACTCTTGGCTTACAGAACAAGAGCTTATTTTCCTATGATTCTGGAGGCTGGAAGTTTGAGATCAAGCTGTCTGTGAAGTTGGTTCCTCCCAGTACCTCTCTCTTTGAGTTGTAGGTAGCCTTCCCATGTCATTCCTCTCACCCTCCAGCAGGTGTGAATGTTTCTGAGCATACCAGTTTTATTGCATTAGGGCTAACCAATGACTTCATCGCCTCTCGAAAGATCCTATCACATTGTGAGGTGCTGGGCGTTAGGACTTCAACATAAAAATTCAGACAAGGTCACAATTCAGCCCACAGAAGCCCAGCTGAGGTCCCAGGCAACAGCCAGCATCAGCCATCAGCTCCTGAACAGAGACTGGAGGCGCCCCCACATGACACCAGCACTGACCACAGTCCTGGACACTGAGGAGCAGAGAGATGTGCTGTCACTTTGTGCCTTTTCAAGCTCCTGACCCACAGAATCTATGGGCAGAATACCATTCAACACCTCTGAATTCTAAAGACTGGTATGTGGCTTGTTACTCAACAAATAGTAACTGAAATATACTTTGGGTGGGGAGTCCCAGATTATTTCACCCAATCTTTACATCCATCTAGTGCACGTTTCATGGATGAGGAAACCGAGACATGTACAATCATGTAAATTGCCCAAAGATGCAGTTGCTAAGCAGTGACACAGATCTGAACCCAGTCTCTGTCTGACAACCAACTCTGTCCTCCGTGGAGTCCGTCTGGGACAACAGACAGAGATCAGGTGCTGACAACTGCTCTAATCTGCCCCGGGGAAAGCTATGTCTTTTCCTAGATTTGCTGTCAGCAGTTCCCTGCCCTGCCTGCCTGGTAAACTCAGAGGAAGCTATGTCCCAGAGCTACTCAGAGCAAACACAAAATGACTCACTTCAGCAACCGTCCATTTGCGCCCGGGGGGCATCCAGGGGGGTAAATCTTCAGACAGTTGTATATCTGGAGCAGCTGAGGGGGCATTTGGAGGCACACATGCAGATGGGACTGTGGCGTCCACTCTGCAAGACCCTCACAACCTTGGAGATACACCCTGACCTCTGGGCTGTTTACAAGGCTTGGTGTTCAAAGGGAGCAGCTAATGTTCCTCTGGCCATTTGTTCCAAGCGCTGGTGTCTTTCTCTCTTTTGCTTTTTAAGATTCACTTATTTATTTGAAAGGCAAAATAAATGGCTAGAGAGGGGGAGAGAGGGGGAGATACAGAGACAGAGCAAGATTTTCTATTTGCTGATTCATTCCCTGAATGCCCACCACACACAGGGCTGTGCTAGGAGGCAGGAATTCCACCCTGGTCTCCTACATGGACGGAAGGAGCCCAAGCACTTTGAGCATCACCCACGGACTTCGCAGGTGCACTATCAAGACTGTGGGTCAGTAGCAGAGAAGCTGGAACTTGAATCAGCACTCCCGTACAGGACACTGCATGCCAAGGAGTGCTTCAACCCACTGTAACACAATGCTGGCCCCAAGGACCGGTTTCTATCCAAGAAAACAGCAAGCAGCAAGGCAAAAATTAAAACCCAGCTCAGGGTTATTTTTAACTGTGCTTGCCTGCTGCCTTTTATTTTTTTTCCAAGAAATAGATCAAGCATTCTTCCCCTTTCCCCTCTCGCTCTCAAAAACATCTGGAGTCTACACTATTCTGTCAACTATTTCTATTCTGATATTCCCTCTTGGGGGAAAAATCTTATTTTTCACCAAATGCTGTGGCAAAACTGTCCAGAAGTGCAAGTGCAAAGCATGTGATACCTTCCTTTCTATTTCCCTTCCCAACTGGAACAACTGGGACAGCTGCTGTGGATTTTCAGTGCTTCCTAGAGGTATTTTTTTTTTTTGACAGGCAGAGTGGACAGTGAGAGAGAGAGACAGAGAGAAAGGTCTTCCTTTTGCCGTTGGTTCATCCTCCAATGGCCGCCGGGGCCAGCGCGCTGAGGCCAGCGCACCGCACTGATCTGAAGGCAGGAGCCAGGTGCTTTTCCTGGTCTCCCATGGGGTGCAGGGCCCAAGGACTTGGGCCATCCTCCACTGCACTCCCTGGCCACAGCAGAGAGCTGGCCTGGAAGAGCGGCAACCGGGACAGAATCCGGCGCCCCGACCGGGACTAGAACCCGGTGTGCTGGCGCCACAAGGTGGAGGATTAGCCTAGTGTGCCGCAGTGCCAGCTGAGGTATTTCTTCTGCCTCACCCACTGGAGATACAGGGGCTGGCTCTGCAGGATCTCCCAGAACTCCCTGCTTCCCAGGGCTTCCTATTAAACCTGTGTTCCACAGGAGAAATCCAACTGCATTCTACAATTCTGGTTATCAGAGCATCAAATCCAAGTTTGACCTACATGACAAGGCAAATCGGTCAGGAACACACCCCGGACTACGACAAATTGATTTTTCTGGCTTTACTGATGTCAAGGGAGATATATCGCAATGATTAATAATTTATCAGACAGATAAAAGCTTTTGTTGTTGTCTTTGTTAGTCAAGAGAGTCCAAGGTTTTATTGTCCCAGATTTGAGTACTAATTGGGGAGGTGTTCACCCTTAGGACTTCGACAAAAAGCAACAATAGAAGATCCATGGAAGTCTTTCTCTGTACTTGCCCCCACAAAAGAGCAGTGATGGAAAGCGAATAACAAATCGTGTTAGAGGAAACTTGATTTTTCTGTTCTCAGAGTTTTTCCTACCCTACCCACACTAAGGTCTGGTTTTTTGGCATGAGTACAATAGGGGCTTTGGGAATGCCTGTTTTGTTTTGTTACACTGAGTGACGATAAGACGATTCAGACATGAAATGAAGTTTTTTCCTACATCTCCATGGAAATGCAGCATGCAGTACTATGCATGGCATGGTGTATGCACTTTATAAATGTTCTCTCTGTGAAAGGAGGGATGAATGAATGAATACATGTGTGAATGGTGTCGTTTGTGTCAGACAATTACATATTGTGAACAATTTAAATAGCAGGGAAATTAACCCTGAGCAAAAGAAAAATTTGAACGCTTTCAGTGGAGTTTTTGTGTTTTTTTGTAAAACTATTTCTCTCTCTTTTTTCTTACTTAATTTTCCCACTGTTTGACTTTCTCTGTCACCTGTCTTACTTCAGGTTCCATTAAATGATTAGGCAAATTAGATCTCGAGTTGTTTTTCTAGAATGTGGGAATTGGAGAATCAGATAAAGGGTCAACATCGCCCTCTCATCACCAACTTCCAAATGAGAGGAGTGACATTTAGCAGGATGTTTTGCAAGCTTATTCCCTTCTCTTGTGTAGAAAGACAAAGGCTGAATCACAGAAGAGCGCTGCACACATCTCCTCTGGGGCAAACTCTAGAATAGATTAACAAAGTTAGGGAAGGATATTTTACACAGCAAAATTGTACCTGCATCCTTGGGGGTTTACTGAATGCATGCCTCTCTACAAACGACACAACAGGTGGAGAAATACACTGGTTAGGATCGGCATAGCCTGTAGCAGCAACCAGAGTGTTTTGTACACTCACACCCTGCAGCATGTCCTGTGGTCTGGAAACAGCGTCATCAGGCAAGACCTTCTGGAAGCGAGAACCGCCAGAGCTGGGATGTGTTATTCAACTGCAGGTGCCATGCTTGGAGACTGCACATTCGCCAGCAGGGAAGCCAAGATTGATTGTAAGTAATCTCATTCTCAGGCCATAGGTCGTTGTTAGACTGCAGCCTAGAAAAATGGTATATTGATTTTCTAAGCCAAAAAAGTTATGTCAACATAGAATTAACTAGATAGTCAGATAGTTGTAACATCCCCAAAGATGGGAATACCATATATCAGATGTGCATGTTCTTTCTTTTTTCATCTTCTTCTTCCCATTTTTACCACTATCGAGAAAAAAAATCATATCTTGCATTGCTACAACACCATTTTGTAACAACACATTTTGCAAACCTGGAAGTCCCTTGTGTGTTCCTTATTAGCTGCTCATAGCTACTTTGCAAAATAGGCTTCATATCAAATTCAAATTCTGACTTTATCATGTCTTAAAGATCTGAACTAAGGAACATTTTCTAAGTTCTCTATCTCTATGTCCAATTCCTTCTTCATCGCATATTGGAATAATGTGAGGAATCAGATAACAACAAAATGAAGATCACATTTTGTTGTTTATAGATAGTGCTAAGAACCACACCTAGCACACAGGTAGTACTAAGTACCTGTTTGCTATTAGTACCATTCTTTAATATTTGAAGATGCTGACAGTGGCCTGAAAGTCCATTTCAGTTCTCAAATGTTTATGGCATTCACAGAGAGAACATGAGATTCGATATAACGTAATTTCCAGTGCTGCCGTCCTTCCATGGACACTATCCAATTTGTTAGTAAATTCTGATGACTTGGAGCCTTCACTACTACTGAACTGGGGTGAGGTACTTAATGGACAGTGATGGCCTCCTTACCAACTCCCATTGTCCACTTTCCACCAGGCCCTTCTCCCCACAACAGCCTGAGTGAAGGGGAAAAGCACCTTTCAGAGTCACCCTTGATACTCCACAAGGATTCCTCTTCTCACTCAGAGCAAAGTTCAAAGTCCCCTGGGTATGCCCAGAACTCCCCCATCAGGCTCCACCACCCTGAACTTCCGATCACTCCTCTTCCTATTTTCCTGGGTTCTCACACCAACCCCCCCTTGAGCTTCTTTAAAGAGTCTCACTTACACCTGTTCTGGAACATTCATGCTATGTATCTGTGTAGCTCACTCCTTAATCTACTCATCTTCCACCTCAGATTATCATCCTCCTCCTTGCTTTTATCTTCCTGTACTGGAAGCCTATCACCTTCTAATAGGCTATTTTTATGGATTCAGGCTTGAATCAGACTCTGTAAACAAGAATACGCAAGCTCCATGAGGATAAGGTTTATTTTTTTTTTCCAGCCACTCACTCACACCTTAGAAAAATACAGAGTGGGCATACAATAAGTGCTTGTTGAATCAGTGCATAATGAAGGAAAGAACAAATGAATCAACCAGTGAATGTTTTGCATCTTAAAAAAGAGTTGGAAATGACAGCTTGGCATTGGCACAGCCTGGGGAGGTGCAGATAAAAAGAGATCAAAATGCAGATGTTTCAAGAGCAGATGTTGAACCTAGTGGTAAGATGGCTGCATGCCATATCTGGGCACAATTCCTGTTTCCAGTTCCTGATGCAGACCCTGAGAGGCAATGATGATGGCTCAAGTCATTGGGTTCCTGCCACCCATGTGGGAGACCTGGATTGAGTTCCAGCTCATTCTCTCTCTCTCTCTCTCTCTCTCTCTCAATATCTCTCTCTCCATCTCTAACAAACAGAAAATTAAAGTTCAGATGCTTTCCTTCTACCCAATAAGGCCATCTTACACATGAATTAACTGCATCTGAATGATCACTAGACACTAGGGAGTATCCGAGTAAGGATCTTCCTTGGAGGGTCCAGAAATTTGCAAACAAAGTCTACTCCGGGCTTTCCAGGAGACACAGTATAATATGGTTTATTGGAAGGAAACAGAGGAGATGGAATTTGGAAATGGAAATCTATTAGGTCCTCAAAGAGTATTCTCTTTCTATCATTGGTTTTCTACCTATGCTCTGTGGTCTTGATTTTATGTTTAAATCACTCATCATGCAGTTCTCAATTGTGGCTTGGTGATGTGTGCACACACCACAGCACAAGAGACTCACTCGGTCTTACTTGCAGATTTCTAGGATATATTATGGGATTGGCTCCCACTGGGTCAGTTGACCATCTTCACCATGGCCTTGGCTAGGAAGACAGAGTTGTAAGATAGATGGGCAGCTGCTGAGAGGCCATCTCTAAGGAGTTATCTGGGGAATGGGGAATGGTTACCTCAAGGACTGAGAAGATTCCCAAAACAAGTCTAAGTAGAGGGGTAGCTCAACCCTGGCCGAAGAGATGGCACAGAGGAGATGGTAATTAAATTGAGTTAAACAGTGTTTCATTGAATCTCTCTCTGGGTAGACCTGGACTATGAACAACATCCTAGCCTCACAACCTCTGAGCTCAAATGGCTTTGGGCAAGTTCCCTTACTGCTCCATTGCTTAACATGCTCATCTGTCAAATGCAGTAATAGTACCTATCAAATAGGATTGTAGCAGGGATTATTGTAAAGCAAAACAGGAAAGTTCCCAATGCATAGCTAGTGTTTTATAAACATTGACTGTTGTTACTGTCGCTCTAAATACTGAAGAGTCACTCAAAGACACTGCAACCAAGCCCTTGTATTGCCACCCTCCAATCACCTTCATGGTTTTCTATTTTTTTTTTTTATCTATTCTTTATTGCGTCTGTAATTTATTCATTTTCTTTACATATCACGATTATTGTATTTTTACATACTACTGCATTTGCGTTTCATTAAATACACCTCTTCACCTCTTCTACAGTGGTCCTACCACTGTTTAGAAAGCACTGTCATATACACATGGGGATATGTCTTTATATCTCTGCTTCTATCCCAAAAGCAGAATCAAAGACTTCGGGAGTCCTTGTTGACTATGGGATCTGTTCCTGATGTTTTGGCCTGCTCACCACAGTGTTCTATGTTTGAGTTAGATTCACCTTTTTGGCATTATCGCTCATTACGCTTGTACCAAATTCTGACAATTCAAAAAACCTTGGCACTAGGTCATACCTTTAGCTTGTGGATGTGGTTTTACTGTTCTCTCTAGTGCAGCCACCATCCCCTCGTTTGTCTATTTTTACATTTCTTGAAAATGGAATATTATTTATCTAACTGATTTACATAACACTTTCAGAAATTAAAATCTCCAGTTGACTTTTGAGAGTTGTTTTTAAAATCTGAATCTGGAAGTGTCTTCACCCTATTTTTCTTTTTATTTCTAAGATTTTATTTATCTATTTGAGAGGCAGAGTTACATAGAGAGGGAGAGACATAGAGAAAGGTCTTCCACCCACTGGTTCACTCCCCAGATAGCTGCAATGGCCAGAGTTGGGCTGATCTGAAGCCAGGAGCTTCTTCCGGATCTCTGATGCGGGTGCCAGGGTCCAAGTGCTTGGGCCATCTTCGACTGCTTTCCCAGGCCATAGCAGAGAGCTGGATCAGAAGAGGGGCAGTGGGGACACAAATTGGCACCCATATGAGATGCCAGCATTGCAGGTGGAGGCTTAGCCCACTATGCCACAGCGCTGGCCCCCTTCATCCTGTTTCTCTGTCAAGAAGTTAGTGATCTTTTGCAAACTACTGTATAAACATAAGACAGAATAAATTCAAAGAGATGCTAGGGAAAACTTCATGCCACCAAATTCAGCAATATAGAGGAAATGAACAGATTACACGGAAAGCACAAGTTACAAAACATGACACAATAAAAATAGAAAATATAACTAGCTCTGTATTTATTTTAAAAAATCCTTTGTTGTTTTAAAATGTCTGTAAAGAGTCTACGGTCAGCTGGATCAATTGGTGAGTTCAATAAAATGTTGAGGAGCAAGCATTGTGGTACAGTGGGTTAAGTCCCTGCTCAGGGTGCCTGCACTGCATATCAGAGTGTTAGTTCTAGTCTGGGTCTCTGTGCTTCTGATCCAGCTTTCTGCTGATGTGCATCCCAGCAGACAGAGGATGGCAGTCCAGGTGCTGCACTTCCTGCCACCCATGCAGGAGACCTGGATGGAGATTCTGGCTCCTGGCTTCAGTCTGACCTAGACCCGGTTTTTGGAGCCATTTGAGGAATGAAACAAGAGATGGGAAGATTCTCATTCTCTACCCCCCCATCCATTTCTCTCTACATATATCCTTATCTCTCTCCCCCTCTCTCTCTCTCTCTCTACTTACCCATCTCTCTCTCTCTCTCTTTCTCTCTGTGTGTTTCTGTGTCTTCCAAATAAAAAGATAAATAAATTCTTTAAACAAAAGGAACATGTAGGAGAATGTTTCTGCTATGACTCAGTCTAACTTAAACATGAGCAAAGATTTTGAGGGTAGAATATAAGAAAAAGGTCAATGAAACTGAAACATTGATGTTGGACTTAATCAACTGTTATAAACTTTGCATTACTAAGGCAGCTAAAACAGATTGGGAGAAAATGATTTTGATATAGTATCTATTAGAAAAGCAAGAGAGTGGCTGGCGCTGTGGCATG